AAGCCTGCAGAGGCTCTTTCTTCCACTAGGAGATCAGGGTCTCATTTCTCCAGATGACAGGGTGGGGAATGAGGTGAATAGTATACTTTCCATTTTAAATTCTCTTAAATGGAGAAGTTCCTGGACAGTGGATACTGGTGTCTATTTATCTTTAGTTATGAGTTAAGTGCATGGAACAGCTAATTAATAAGTTCTTGATAATGAGGGCCGTGATGATAGAGCAAAGAAAAAGACTGCATTTGATCTAATGTGACAAATGTTCATTTGCTAAACATTCTCTTCATGTCAAGCATGATATTAAGCACCAGGGAGAGGTGAATTAAATGTATAGCCTTTCCATCATGGAGCTCAGAGTCTCTTGTGGCTGATGGTTAAACATTTAATATTAATACAAAGTAGAATGTTACTAATGTTTATTAAGTAACTTAAAAAGATAAGAATGATTTTGATGGGGGGGGTTCATGTAGAAATTTTGTGTGTCAGTTACCTGATCTGTTAAAGGCATTTAATAATGGTACTACCTCAAAAAGTTGTCATGAATTGAATGATATGATTGATGAGGCTCGTTGTCTCTCAGTCACTTTTCTCTCTGTATCTCTTACAGTATTAGAACTCCCAAATGCTAATTGACCAGATGGCTGCTGGGAATCAGAACTACATTTCCCAGGCTCCCTTTTGCCAATGCAGCCATGGGAATAAGTTCAGGCCAATGGAATACAAATAGAAGTATGTGCACCTCCCAGGAAATGCCCTACAGAGAGGGCTCATGCTCTTTTCTTCTTCCATCCTGATGGCAGCAAGTCTATCATTGTGACTAGAGCTGGAACCATCGCCTTGTAACATAAAACAACTTTAGAAATGGAGGGCAGGTAGGCAGAGCAAAAAGAGAGAAGGCACCTGGGTTCTGATGGCTTAACCTCTGGAGTTATCTTGCTTAAACCACTGTTATTTGGGGTTTGCTGTCACTCCAAGCCAAGCCCAATTCTAATTAGTTCAAAAGAGTTGTTGCATTTAGCATCCAGAACAGTTCTTAACACAAAATAAAGGCTGGAGAAATGGTGGCTAATAATAGTTTAAGTTCTTACTCTAAAGGAGGTAGAAGACAAAGACCCTGCCCACTGAGCAGCAAAATGCTTGCCTTATTCCTCCATGGGAGCTCATGGTTGGGTAGCCCAGCATGTTGTACTGTGGTCAGCTAATTCTTTAGCCTCACCTCTTCTCCCTGTCTGCTCTTCTCATACTCTCTGCTTACTGCCCTATCATCCCCCGTCCTCCCCATACCAGACCTAAATCCTACTGTCACCAGCTTAGCCATTACTTATTGAGAGAAGAAGCAATGGCAGCCCAGGAGAAGTATGAGCAGGGAGTTGCGTCTGGTGGATCAATTTGTAATTTTTCTTGTGGCAGCAAGAGGAGCGTGAGTGATGTGTGCACTAAATCCCCCAGCAACGGCAGCAGCATAGCAGCGTGTCCTGGCTTGAATTATTTATCTATGGGTCCCTTGGCCAAGTGGGTCTGGGTCCCTTGGAGGAGGGTAAATAGTTGGTGCATGTTAGTGCTCCCTAGCTAAGGCTGTCCTTAGGATGGGGGGAAGTAGCAGGCTGGAGACATTTTCCCTGGTGGTCCTCTCAACCATTGAACCCCTTGCTATAGGACATGTCTCTAGGAAGGTAGGGGACTTCCCATTTCTGGACAGATGAGAGTGAGAGTCATCCTTTTCATCACTGGAAGGCAAATTAGAAATATATTGAAATGATTGACTCAAAAATAATGAGTAGGTCTTTGCCTGTTCATTGGGCTTGTTAAGTATGCATTCTGTATTGGGGAGAGGGAGAAGGGAATATGGGGGCTCTCCTGGTTGGGAAAGGATCATGGTTTACAGAGATGTAAGTTATAGATATTATTAGTTCTCAGAATTTCCAATCTCTTTCTTTCCTGTTCACATGAAAGAGTCAGGAAGAGAAGACTAGTTCTAGCCAATAGAGTATAACAGAAATGGCATATGAGCAATAAAGAGGTGGTGTGTATTTCTCAACTTCCCCCCCACCCTCCTGGCAGAGAATTCTAAAATAGTGATAATAGTTATAGTATGGTAGAATTGAAATTATCCTGGATCCCTAAACGAATATGTGGAGCACAACTCTATACCCAATAGTGCTGGACATACAGATTAGTGAGAAATAAATTTGCTGTCTATAAAGTGACTGATATTTTGCAATTTAACTACAGCACAATCTAATCTATCCTAATGAGTGATGACAAAATAAAAAGGAGCATGCAGGATCCTTTTGCTTCAGGAGACAGCCAAGTTTAGCAAATCAGAAACTGGAAGTCTGGTCAGGCTACTGGATCCTTATATTGGTGGCCTAAGCAGAGCAAAAGCAGATGCATATACAGCTGGAGATAAGTGAACCTAGGAGTGATAGCAGGAGGAGCAGTGTTAATTGGTGAAATCTGAAAATGCTCCCAACCAGTGAGCCCCTTGCTATAGGACATTCCGCTGTGACATAGATCATAGCACAGCAGGTTATGTTTAAGGTCTCAAGGTCAGAGTAACAATCCCAGGACCCTCCATAGACCTTGTTGTGGACAGAATTCTATCCCTTCAAAATTTGCATATTGAAGTCCTAACCACAAACCTCAGAAAATGACCTAGTGAGATAGGGTATTTATAGAAGTAGTCAGGTTAAAATGAAGTCACTACTGTGGGCCCTAATCCAGTGTGACTAGTGTTATGGACTGAATTGTGTTCCTCTAAAATCTATACATTGAAGCCCAAACCCCAATGTATTTGGATATAGGGCCTTTGGGGACCTAATAAAGATTAAATGAGGTCATGAGGTGGGGTCCTAATGCAATAGGACTGGTGTCCTTATAAAAAGAGAAAAAGACATCAGAGATCTACTTCTCTCCATGTGCATATAGAGGAAAGCCTATGTGAGGGCAAAACAGAAGGTGCCACCTACAAGCCAAGAAGAGAAGCCTCACCAGAAACCAACCCTGATAGTGCCTTGACCTTGGAATTCCCGTCTACAGAACTGTGAGACATTCATTTTGTTGTTTATGCCTTAAACCCAGTCTGTGGTATTTTTTATAGCAGCCTGAACCCAACTAAGCTAGGCTTTGACCTTGGACTTGTCTTCTAATATTCTCTACTCTACTCTGAAGCACCTAAGTTTCCTGAGTGAGGTTAGGAAAGTCCTGGGGGGAGCTTTCTATACAGAATCGGATTTTTTTTTTTTTTGAGGTGCAGACGAAAGAGAAGAGAGGGGAATCTTGAAGATATTAACAACTCCTCACGCATCTGACAAAATGCTTTTCTCTACATTATTACACTGGATTCCAATTATGATCTTGTAAGAGAGGAATAATCACCCTAGGCTTATGGATTTTATTCATTTACTTAGCAACTTGTTTTGAGTATCTTCTATGTGTTGGGGGGTGGTGCTAAGGGTTGGGGTACACAGTGGAGTAGGCTGTGGTGCCTGTTCTGTGATGAAAAGGTGCTAGCTCAATCAGACAAGGGCAGACAGCCTTCATTTCCAGCTGTTTAGCTCTGTGCCTGGGTTCTTGGTAGAGAAGGAGCAAAGCAGAAACAGGCTGTAGTGAGTGCTGACAGACCCTTGCATGCCTACAAAAGCTGTTTGTTTATTGTCTCCAGGAATCTGGGAACCAGCATGGCACCCAGGCAGCACATCGGTTGTTGGCTGCCTGCATCCCAGTCAGTCCTCAGCTCCTGCTTTGCTGGTAGACCTTTCCTTTGTCCAGTTCTCCTGCACCCCAGCACTTCAGGGAAAGTTGGCTTCCTTCAGACCTAGAGGGCAAATCTTACAGCAATATAACCAAGCCCACTAGGTCTATTCTACTTGTAATTCTAACCCATGAGACTAACCCAGGGAGACTGCAGGGGAGTCTTAAAAGTCTAGAAGCTTCCTAGTAAATACACTCCTAATTTGGTGTGTTCCCTTGGCAGGTTATATAACCTTTTTTGAGTCTTAGTCTTCTGTACATAAAGGTAGAATTAAGCTCCACTTCAGATCTAATGCTTCACATTTTACTCTGGGCTAGACACCATGGGAGATGCAAAGAAAGATGAAAAAAAGCTCACTGGAATCAGAGAAAGCCATCTAGGACAAGAGAAAGGATATGAAAATATCCTCATGGTAGTCTCCAGATCAGGGTCTCCAACTGGTCAACTCCAAATCCCTCTTCTCCATCAGAAGGAAAGTGTGTACAAGAAAGCCAACTGAGAAAGGAAGCATGCCTGCCTGCTGAGGTGAGTGCCTGAGTTGCATGAATTCCCAGGGGTTAGGGCATGTCCCCTGCCCCTAATAATTTTTCCTAAATAGTATCATCCAGCTCTTGGTTTGCTCAGATCCTTTGCACCTGTTACCTTTCTTTGGCAGAATTGGATCTTCATATAGGGCTGGGGGTAGGGTAATATATCTTGCTGGTGTTTGCTGAAGGAAAGGGGAGACGAGTGTCCATGATTAGCATGCAGTTTGCTAGCCAGCCTCAGAGCCACCTTGTGATGTTTACTTTTATGAACTTCACTAGGTTAAGGCATGATATTTGGTTAAGTCTAAGAGGTTGTTTCTGGGAACATATAAGCATTTGAATTGGTGGACTTAGGAAGTAACATCTCCCTTCTAGTGCAATCATCCAATCTCTTGAGGGTTGAATTAGAACAAAAAGAAAGAGGAATTGCATATTTAGTGTCAACTGGGACATCCATGTTTTTCTGCCTTGAACATTGGCAATCCTGGTTCTTGGATCTTGGCACTAAAACTAGGACATTTACCACCGGGAACCACTGGTTTCAGGCCTTTGGGCTTGGACTGGAACTACACCACTGCATCCCTGGTCTTGCATCTCATAAATGGTAGATCATGGGACTTCTCAGCCTCCATAATCGTAGAAGCTAATCCCTCTTGATAAACCTCTTTCTCTCTATTTCCCAAATATCCTATTGATTCTGTTTTTCTGGAGAAACTTGACTAATACATCCCTGAATCAGAATTGTCAGGCTCCCTGTAAAAACATGTTCTGACTTCCACCCGAAACCTACCAACCTGCTAGGCCTGGCTCTGTGCCCCATGCTTCACCATCTCTGATCATCCTCATAACAAATCTGGAAGCCAAAGTACTGGTAATGACTGTGTTCTGTGGAGGGAAAAATAGAGTTTTAGCAAGGTTAGATGTCTTGACCACAGTCCTGCTGCTGATAAGAGATGGAACTGGAACTGAAACAGGGGTTTGTCTGACTCCTCTCCCGTTCCCAGCCTGGCAGGAGTGAGGCTGGCATCACTGGGGCTGACGTACTTCTGTAGCTTGCTCTCCTTCCTTAAACCCAGCTTCAGCAGCCCCAGGGCCTTTACGCCTCCATACTATTCTCGCTTCTGCTGGGGGTTCTTTGCTCTGGCAAAGAGTTCCTTCTTTCACCAGCTGCCTCTTTCTGTGCAACTTATCTCGATATACTTCCAGGGCCAGCTCCACAGCTACTTTTGCTTTTAAGGGCTCCTGTGACCTGCTCCTCTCCTGCTTTCCACCAAGCAAAACCAAACCATTTTTTTTCTATTACACTTATTGGTTTTGGCATTCATTATATTTTCACTCAATATTCATCAACTATAATTGAGTTTTTATTATGTTCAGGTATCATCAAATCCTAGATATAACAAGAATGAACCTAAATAGACTTGGTGACAGTACTCACAGAGTCATGGTCAAGTGCATTTCTCATACTGAATCTCAACTCTCATACTCTATAGATACAGGTATGCACCACATAGTGACATTTTAGTTAACTATTAATTGTATGTAAGTTCTGTGGAGGGAAAAATAGAGTTTCAGCAAGGTTAGATGTCTTGACCACAGTCCTGTATAAGATTATATTGCCTAGTGACTTTAGAGCTATCTTAGTTTGTCTAAGTACACTCTATCATGTACACAATGATGAAATCATCTAAGGATGAACTTCTCAGAAAACATCCCTGTTATTAAGCAATGCATGACTATATATGTATATACAAATATATATACATATGATATATATGTATATAATATCTATGCAATATCTCTCTATATATCAACATCTATATCACTTTATCAATGCTGTGCAATTAGTGATAACAGAATTTCATAATGCCCAGAACAATGTCTCCATGCAGTAGGTGCTATATGAAATAAATATATTAACAAAATGAAAAAAATACTGTTGTGAAGGGCAAGGTAGGCACAAGTTACATTTCCAGGAGGTCAGACAGCCTGCTTTCTGCTACTGCATCTTGGAAGAGGTTAAATTGTCTTATAAATGGTGTTCCAGCCTGGGGCTCTGGAGAGGGCGGCTGACATGCCCGGGGCCTGAAGCCAGGGCCCAGCCCAAGCCCATGTTGGGAGGATACATTATGAATGCAAGATGTAGGAAATAGAAATTATTAAACTCACAGATAGGGACAGAAATGCTTTTGTGTGGCTGCAGAGTTGGGAAATTATGCTAAAGCAATGCATTGCAAATCAGCCTGTGCTCGGCAGAGAGGGGCTTTTATTCTCCAGGTCCCGAAGTTCCTTCGGCAGCTTTTGTGTGCAGCGGCAGAGGCCCTTCTGGGAGGAGAGAGAAGCTGGTAATTTTGTGGCTGATTGGCAGACTGTCCAGAGCCAATAAAGATATTTGTTTTCTTGCCCAAGTGCTCACAAACCCAAATCTCAGCTCCTCAATTTTATCTCTCTTTCTCTCTTTGTGATTTTCCCCCTTCTTTTCCATTATGAAGAGAAATGAAACCTGGGCTATCTTTCTCCATTAACGTAGTGTGGACTCAATGTGGATGGCAGTCCCCATCCTGGGGACCCATGAGAACTGAGGACATTTGCCCAGTGTAGCTGGCATTTTCTCCAGGCATCCAGTTTGCTTTGGCACAATCTACATAGATGAACTCTGCCACTTTGATGTCCTGGGAGAGCGTGACGTTTACATACCTATGAATTTACCCAAACATCCCTGTGATATTTGGTATTATTTGTCCCATTTTAAGAACGAGGACTGATGACCTGTCCAAGGTCCCAGAGTTAGTAGATCATGGCACTGGGATCTGAAGCTGATCTGATCTAATGCTGAAGTCTGTTTTCTTGGATTTTTTGGGTACCCCTGGTTGTGTCTTGCCCTAAACATATTCATGGCATCTGTGTGCATGGAAATATCCTCATGATAGTCTCCAGATCAGGGTCTCCAACTGGTCAACTCCAAATCATAGGAGTATCTTGAGGATTTGACAGAAGTATACAGTTTAGAGATTGAAGGGGCCTTTGAGACTGTAATTTATTCCCTTTTCCACCTGGACTCATTTTATAGATAATGAAACTCAGGCCAGAAAAATTTAGAACCTGGCCCCAGGTCACAGCCAACTCTCTAATGGCAGACCCAGGATTCTCCCAGTCCAGTGTCCTGTCCATTTCATCTGCAGTATCAATTAGGACTTGGTTTGAGTAACATACACCCCCCAAAATCATGATTTAACAAAACAAGACTACTCTCTGATGAAAAAATATATCAGAAACAAGAAAATCAGATGGGAAATAAGTCAAAATCAATATGAAAGACCACTCTGACATAAAAATAAATGAAGTATGGCAACTTCATAGTGTTAGGGACCAAGATTCATTGTGATGTCATTTTTGCCATGGGAGGCGTCTTTCCCAAGTTCCCCTTGTGGTCCGAGATGGTACCTGGAGCTCTGCCCATTGCATCCAGCAGCTGGAAGGAGGAGGTCCTTCTGTTTAAGAACACTTTTGGGAGGTGTGTATACTACTTATGGCTTACTGGCTAGAGCTTAGTCTATGATCACATTAGTTGAATGGGAGGCTGGAAAATGTCATCTTTTATGTAGTTAAAGATCAAGATTCTGTTCTTTTACCAAGAAACAGGAGAAAGGAACTATTGGGATGCAACCAGCAGTCTTTACCGTAACTCATTCATCTCTAGCCTGGTCGCCAGCCCATAACTCCAAGACTGCGCTTTAGGAGTTCCCAGCCCAGACAATGGCTGAAGCAGCCAGTCTTTACTAGTACACAATTAGGTTTTCATGTGTTTGTTTTTCTTCAGACAAAGGCAGGGAACTTCAGCTCTGGAAGAGTTTGCATTGTGAGACTTTTAAAATAAAATCCCACTATCATGATATATTTTGGTCTACTTCAAAGACATTGATGATGTAACCTTGGTGACTCCCTGATTTTGTAGCACATGAGGATAGAGGTTTAATAAAGACAAACGTGATGGATACATGTGTGCCAACGTGTGTGTGTGTGTGTGTGTGTGTGTGTGTGTTTATTTAATTTTTTTTGAGAGAAGAGAAATCTCCACTCCCAGTGTCCTGCTACTTTCCCAATCCCAAGCCGAAAACGCATGAAGCAGTGATTTTTGCTCAAGTCAATTCTTCAAGTAATACGTGGTCAGGGCTGCTTCTTTGAATGCCTAGAGGCAATTGGAGGCTTGGGATGAGAGAAACAAAATATGAGAGCTGGAGAAGCAGCTTCGAGATGGTTGTATCCAGTCTCCTGTTTTTATAGATGAAAAAGCCGAGGCCCAGAGATGTTATGGGTTTTCTCAGAATGTACAGAACCAGGTTGCTACCTTCCTGACCCCTAGGCTAAGGCCATTTTGCCCCTCTCAAATGATAAATCATAAGGTCCTCTATTCGTTTCATGTGTGTGACTATTGTTTCCCCAACTAAAGACTCTGAACTCCTATTATGTTCAAAGCACTATGCAAGGCTTTGGTGTAAGGAAGATAAAAAGATGAATAAGACACAGTTCCCCTCTTAGAGAATTTACGATCTAGAGAGGAAAGCAGATACATCATCAGCTAGCTAAAAGGCAAGGCAGAAGGCACTGAGGGTGACAGAGACGTGTAAGTGGCAATCATCGCGGAAAGATTGATGGATTTGGCTGGGGTGGGGGATTGTGGAAGACCCCATGGGAGAAGTCTTTGAAGAGAGAGATTGAAGGGAAAAAGTAATCTAGATTAGAAGAAAGCACAAGACAGGGCCTTGAGAGTCACGCTGCTACTTAACACCTCCCCGCCCTGGGCTCTATTACTGTTATTTCAGAGGGCTCTGTAGAAGGACCCCAAGAAGCAAAGCCTAGAAGGGTCTGTTGTGGCTCCAGGAAGGACCTCTAGTCCCCCTCCTTGTCAAGTGCTCTTGGTGATGGCTGAGATAGGCAAAGTTAATGCTGGGGTCTTTACTAAGATCACTTGAGCCAGAATCTCTGTGGGTAGTGTTC